GGCAACGTTGCGCGCCGGTTCCCATGACGTATGCGAGTCGTCATAACCCTTCCACTTGACGAGGTACTGCAGCTGACGCCGGAAGATCCTCGAATCCTTGATCCGCTCAACCTCGTACTCCTCGTTGCCCTCAACCTCGATCGCAGGCGGCTCCTCCGGCTCCCGGCCCGGGATATCGCTACGCGTGTACTTGCTAAGCAAGGAGACATGGAACACCGGGTGTACCGGCACCGACTTCGGCAGGACTAATTCATAATCCAAGTCTCCGAGCTTTCGCCGCACGGCATATGGTCCAAGGCGCTTGGGACTGAGCTTCTTGCTCGGCTGTTTCAGCTTAAGGTTCCGGGCATCAAGCCAGACCTTATCCCCTGGCGCAAAGACCGGTGCCTGTTGCACGTGCTTATCGTAGTACACTTTCATACGCTCGGCCGACAACTCGAGCGCAGAGCGCGTATCGTCGCGAATCTCCTTCAGGATCTTGAGCCGATCAGCGGCTGCAGGCATCGCAGACATCGGATTGATCCGAACCTGGATCTCAGGATTGTACCCTTGATGCAGGAAGAAAGGGGAATGCCCGGTCGCGGAGTGAACTCGGTTGTTCAGTGCAAATTCCGCAAGCGGCAACTGCTTTGCCCAGTCATCCTGTCTGTGGCTTGTGAAAGCACGCAGGTATTGCTCGATCTCCTGATTCCAGCGCTCGGTCTGGCCGTCTGTCTGAGGATGGAACGCCGTAGACAGCGCCGGCTCGATCCCTAGTCCCTTGTACACTGCATGGAGATATTTCGAAGCGAACTGGGGACCTCGGTCTGATATGACCTTGGCCGGGGCCCCATGGTGCTTGAACACGTCGCGGATGTACAGATCTGCCGCACCTTCTGCCGTCAGGGTCTCATGACAGGCCGAGAAGTGGACCTGCTTGGTAAAGCGGTCGGCAGTGACCAGGATCGAGTCGAACCCATCAGACTTCGGCAAGCCGACGATCATATCTGTGGTGATGATCTGCCACGGGCGCTCGGGGATCTCGTTCGGCTTCAGCGGACCCTGGGGCTTGGCTGGGAATGTCTTGGTACGGTTGCACACGTCGCAGGTGCTTACGTACTCATTGACGAATTTGGACATCCCAGGCCACCAGTAATTCCGCGACACGAGCTCCAGGGTTTTGGCACGACCACCATGACCGGCGATCGGCGAGTCGTGGTGGATCTTAACGATATCCTGCCGGAGCTCCGCGTTCTTTGGGACGTACACGCACCCGCGGAACAGCAGGAGCCCTTGTTCGGCATTCCACTCCTCAAAGCCCCTTTGAAGCCAGGGTGGCCCGAGGTCCTGTACTTTTTCAAGTGCCTCGGCCACCTCCCGATCCTTTTCCGAACACTCCCGAATGCGCTTCAGAAGCGACTGATCGGCCGTCACCGAGGCATGGCCGCGCCTGGCGGAGGCGATGCGGAAACGTTCCGGCTTGAGAACTACCTGATCGGTGTTATCGTCCTCATCGCCGATCTGATGGTCCGATCGCCGCGACAGGGCATCAGCCTTTCCATTCGACGTTCCGGCCTTGTGCGTGATGCGGAAGTCAAAGCGAGCCAGGAAGAGCGACCACCGCGCTTGACGACGCGTGAGATGCTGAGACGTACGCCAGTACTCGAGGTTCTTGTGATCGGTAACGATCTCGAACTGATTGGGCAATCCTTCGAGGTAGTGGCGCCAATCGTCTAGCGCCTCAATGATGGCAAGCATCTCTTTGTCGTAGATCTCGTAGTTTCGCTGGGCAGGATCCATTGCATGGGATCGGAAGGCGATGGGATGCCATTTGCCGTCATCCTGCTTCTGCATCAACACGCCACCAGTGGCGTAGCCCGAGGCGTCAACCTCGATGCGCGTCTCCCGATTAGGATCGTACAGTGCTAGGACTGGAGTCGTCGCGAAGAGCCGCTTGAGCTCATCGAAGGCATGCTGTTCCTCTTCGCCCCAATGCCATGGGTCGTTCCCTGTGAGCCGGTCGAGTGGTCGCGAGATCTTAGCGAAGTCCTTAATGAAGCGGCGGTAGAAGTTGGAGAACCCCCGGAACTTCTGGACATCTTTTTTGTTCCGGGGTACCGGCCACTCATTAATTCCTTTAAGCTTCGCGGGATCCATCGCCACCTCATCGCCACCGAACACATAGCCGACGTAGTCGACCTTGGGAACGTCCCACTCGCACTTCTCAGGCTTCAGGAACAGGTCGTTGTCCTGAAGGCGACGAAGAACCTCGCGTGTGACCTTTTCGTGCTCCTCCTTGTTGGTAGAGAAGATGAGTATGTCATCAAGGTATACGAGGATCTTGCCGCCGACGATGAGATCGTGGAAGATCTCGTTCATCATCGCCTGGAAAGTCGCGGGGGAATTGGTGAGGCCGAAGAACATCACCAAGGGCTCGTACAACCCTCGGTTAGTCACAAAAGCCGCCTTCCATTCGTCACCGGCTTTGATCCGGACGTTGTTGTATCCCCATCGGACATCGAACTTGGTGAAGAGCGTGGCGCCGCGGAGCTTATCTACCATCTCGGCGATCAGCGGCAAAGGGTAGCGGTTTTTGACCGTGATTGCATTCAATCGACGGTAGTCCTGCACGGGTCGAAGTGTCCCTTCCTTCTTTTTGATGAAGAAGAAAGGTGACGAAATGGGCGACTTCGATTCCCGTATGTAACCTTTCGCTAACTGCTCCTTCAGGAACTTGTCAAGTTCCTCCTGTTCATTGTTCGATAGGGGATACACTTTCGAGTGGAACGTCGAGTAGCCAGGCACGAGTTCGATCGCGTGATCGTAAGGCTTCCTTTCGGGTAGCCGCTCTGATGCTTCCTTGGAGAAAACATTCAGGAACTCGTGGTACTGTTTAGGTACCGACTCCTCGGCGGTCTTAACGACCTTCTTTCTGATCTCTTCCTCAGCGAACAACTGGGAGTACGTATGCCCTGCTGCGACGAATAGCTGAGGAGCGCCGGGAAGCATGATGCCTTGTTCCCAGGCTTCGATCAGATCGGCCTCATTCCACTCTACTTCCGCCGGATCTTCTTCGGGTTCGAAGTCCGGGAGCACCTTGCTCCGGCAGGCACCTATGACCGACCGTTTGGACTTCGGCGAACGCCTGCGCGCCGTGGGCCTGACCCCCGTATCACGCGCAGTCGCTGCTTGCTCCATTCGGCCAGTCCTCCTGGCGCTACACGTTTCAGGGCATCGCGACAATTTGAGGGAGCCCTTCTCCCAATCTATTTCGGGGTTGTGCTCGCGTAGCCAATCCAACCCGACGATCACATCCTCTGGACCGATGTCCGTGACCGTAAACACCGTCTTTTCGACGTGCTCTCCTATATGCATCTGTAGCACTGCTACCTCCGAGATGCTTCCGTCCTTATTCAGGGTTCCGTCAATATTATACAGCGGAATTGGTTCCTTCAACTTCCGCGTTTGCACCTTGTTTTCCGTAATGAATCGCTTGTTGATAAACTTCGTGGTGGCTCCGCTGTCCACCATAGCGATTATGTCTTTGTGCCGTCTTCTCCCTTGAAGTCTTACTGGAATGTGAAAGTGCTGGGACCCCTGGTCCAACTCGTACACCATTGCAGAAGACAATACATCGTACTTGTTACATGATACTCGCGGCCCGACGCGTGCGGCACGAAGCGCGGACCGGATCAAAAACCCTCCTCCTTCATCGCCCGATAGTGCTCGAGCTCCTCGCGCATCGACTTCACCTGTGCCATTAAGTCCGCCAGCTCCGATTGCTCGGATTTCGCTGAAGCGGCACTTATACTTGCCGAGGGTGATGTCGCGACGGGGGCGCTTGTCGCTGCCTGGGTTGAACCCGAGGCAACCGTAGCCCGCGCGTCAGCGCGTTTTGTGTAAGGCTTGTCCTTACAATTGGGGCACTCGAAACGTCGGTACCCTTGCTTCCCACAGCCAAAGCATGTGCCGGGGAAGTTTCCTTTTCCGACGGCCGCATTGATGCTGGCCGAAGCTGCGTGTGTCGAGGGTGCACCACCACGTGCCCCACCGCGTCCTCGACCTCGGGCCGAGAAGAAGTTATTTAGCTCGGGTCGACGGGCCTGGCTGATGTCGAGGATCTGCTCGACCTCGGTGGCGCGCTTCTCAGCTGCTTGCCACGTGGTGAAGGTCTCGAGCTCGATCTTCCGGTAGACGTGGGAGGGGATGCCGCTCAGGTACTTGTCGCGTAGCTCCAGGTCTCCATACCCAGAGCGATCCGCCGGACCCTTGAACAGCGCGGAGAACTCCGCAGCGGTGCGTTTTTCGCGGACCGACTTGTCCGCGCAGAGCTTCGCCAGCTCCACTTGTGCTGCCGCCTCGTCGTCGAGATTTCCGAAGCGGGCCCTGAAGGCGGTGGCAAAGGCCGCTTCGTTTGCGAACGGGGTCGTGGCCCCTTGCACTCCTATCTGCACTGACACGAGCTGGGCGAAGTAAGGAGTGGCCCAGGCGCGGGCATCTCCATCGAGCAGGCTAAGCGCGACCTGCACCTTGAGTTCGATGGTGGTCAACGACGTGTTGATCAACCAGTAGATGCGCAGTTGCGACAGGAATCGGTTGCACTCGATGACGGTCTTGCCATCGTAGCGGAGCGGGAGGAGGAGCTTCAACGTCTCCTTGTCAGGGACGGCGGCGGGAGAGGACATTATCGGCGACGAGGGGGACGAAGGACTGCCCGCGGACGAAGGCGACTGTTGTGACTGTCCGCCGGGCGGACTTCTCGGGGAACGAGTGCTTGAGCGGCCTCGCGGCGGCGACGGCGGTGAAGCCGGTTGAGGAAGTTCGGAGGCGGGGTGACGTAAGACAGGGACTGAAGTCGAGGCGGTGACCGCTGACGACGAGCTGGCCCAAGAATGCGGCGGAGTGTCGCTGGGCTCGGTCTTGGGAGGCCTTTCCAGCCGCGGCCCCAGGGAGGGCTGGGGGATCGCTTGAGGGGTCGCTGAAGGCTGTGCGACTGCCTCAGTTCCTCGAGGGAGATGGGGATCTCCTCGCGCTTGACCTGTACCGGCGACAGGTTGGGGGATGCGGGTGCCTGGCGAGGCAGGTCGGGATGGGACGGGAGTGACGTGGCGAGATGTAGATCTCGAGGTGCCAGCGTATCGGAGAGCAGGACCGCTGGGGTGTTGGACTCGTCGGATTGGCACGTAGCGCCCTTCGTCTTCGTTGGTGGTGATGGACCGTGGGGTTCGATTAGGGCACGGCTGCCGATCACAGCTGAGGAAAGGGGCTAGGTTGCCGTTGCGGTCCGGGTCGTCGCGAGAGACGTCGACCTGCTCCTGGGTGTCGAAGGTGTGCTCAAGTCGAGAGCAGTCGAAGAATTCGTCAGCCACGGTGATGGGGGGGAGGAAGGGGAGGTGCGCGTGCTACAAAAGGCCGTGCTAGCTAGCTTACACCTACGGCGCCCAAGAAGACACTAAGGTTCGCAGTTCACGTGGGGCCCAGTACTGCTTTTGGCTAGTATGCAGCAGGAACCTAAGCCACGCGTCCGTGAGGACAAGTATCGCCCACTGAAGTGCAGATACTGAAGAGTTCGTCCCTTAAGTGGTGGCGATGTATCGTAGGCTATCTAAGTATAGTAGGGTATAGTAGGGGTGCGCGCCACCCAACCTATAGGAGAGGAAGGATGAGTGTTTTGGTTTTTGGAACGCCGGCAGCGTTGGGGAGTTTCGACCTAATGTCGCGACTTAGGGTCGAGCGACAGGGGAAAACCAAATGCTGGGGGCGTTCGACTTATCTTACCGAAGCGATGGTGAGCTAGGCTCAAACCTAAGGCTAGGGACAAGTAAGTTAGCATTAGAAAGGTAAGTAAGTACATGGGCTTACTGACCTAGGGACAAGAGGTCGAAACTGAGGTCCCTAGGGCAGCAGAGGCCGGCTTATATACATGGGGAGGTTAGGGCAGGCTGTGCGCGTTGGTCCGTGCGCAGCTGGTCTGTGCGCAGCATGCCGACGCGGCCCCGGGGGCCGGTGAGTCAGAACGGCTGTGTCAGCGGGGCCCGAGCTGTGCCGTGCGCTGCCGCCCCATCTAATCTAATCGTACAGTAGATAGCGACGCGTCCATATCGGGCATGTAGTACAGAGGTCGCGGGTTCGAGCCCGCGAAAAGGAAAAATTAAAAAACGGACTAAGGCGCCGTACCAAC